GCAGCCTGTCCTCATCCGCTACCCCAACAGTCTGGTGAGTCTTAGTTGGGGGGCGGCGGGGGGCAGAGTCTGACAGTCAGGAATCTACCCTAAATGGCAATCAGTGAAGTTAGTGCCCTAATGGGATGTGCATGTGGGGGTGGGGTGGGGCCCAAGGCTGGGTCTGAGCCCCAAAGCAAAGCATTCCAGAGGAAAAAAGGTAATTCTGTTCTTCCCCCACCTGTGCTTCTCCCCTAGGATACCACCAGCTGGGCGTGGAGAGGCCCTGGAGTGTGAGTTCTGGTGTTCCTGGGGTGAGGGTGGGGAGCAGGGTCCATCAGAGAATTGCTGACCCATCTTCCAGTCTCCAGACGAGGTGAACGGTCCGTCTTCATTCTCAGACCGAGAGAACTCTACAGAAAAGGGGTGTTCTTTTCACTCTGTTCTGTTCTGGTCTACCAGTCTAATCTGGAGGTGCTTTCAGTTAGCCCCCTAATCATTCCTGCTGGGATGAAAACTCTTAACTTACTTTCCTGTATTTGTAACTGATTTCTCTGGGTGTGTCGCTTCTAGAGACATCCTACACAGGGGTTTTTTTTTTAGGGCTCCTCCTCACTCCAGCACCTCTTCTGGCACATCCCTGCAGCTACTCTTTCCCTACCACCTATCTAGCGGTTGGCAGTTGTCTCCCAACTGTATTTACCCAGCTGCCAGTAGTGGCGGGAGTGGCTGGGACGGTTTGCATATCTATGGGCAGAGCTTTCCCACTTCCCCTCCGGGTGGGTGAGCATCTGAGGTTTCTCTCCCTTAGACTCAAAGTCCTCTGGCTCACAGCCTCTCAGCCCTGCAGCATCGTGGACGTGGAGGTACGATAGTTCGACTGTTCCTGACTCTTGTGGAGAAAAGGGTGGGAGTGGCCACCCCTACCTTTGAAGTGCCGATGAGAACTGTGTCTGTTTCAGTTCCTCCCTGTGTACCACCCCAGCCCTGAGGAAAGCAAGGACCCCACCCTCTATGCCAACAATGTCCAGAGAGTTATGGCACAGTGAGTGTCTGCCAAGTATTTCCTGGAGCAGGCATGCGGGGCAAAGGAACAAGGGCCGGTGGGGAGGAGGGCTCAGGTTTTGAGACAGAGGTGGGGAGTGGGGAGGGGGAAAGGCTGTTGGACAGCCAAGACTGGGGGGCAGCCAAGGGGCCTGATCTCCTCTCCTTAGCCAGCAGGCCAGAGTCACTCCTGAACCTAGAAGGCTCTTCTGCCTCCTTCCCCCTCTTCATCCTGTAGGGCCCTGGGCATTCCGGCCACTGAATGTGAGTTCGTGGGAAGCTTGCCTGTGATTGTGGTGGGCCGGCTGAAGGTGGCCTTTGAGCCGCAGCTCTGGGAACTGGGGAAGGTGCTTCGGAAGGCCGGGTAAGTGACCTTGAAAGTGAGGGAATGGGCAGAGTCAGGTACAGCGGAAGCAAGGGAACAGGGGGAAATGGGAAGGAGAAAGAAAAGTCTTGAAAAGTGGGAAAAGGGGAACTTGCTCGAAGACGATGGAGTAAGAGGAAGAAGGACAGAAGGGAAAGACAAGTAATAACCCGGCACAAAAAGCAGAAAGGGCTCTCCAGGGACTGAGAGTCAGAGCACATCTTAGAAAAACACCCGCTGGACCGGGGCTGGGGCCAACGTCCTGCTGGCTATAGTATGCCCAGAAAGAAACTGAGTCAGCTCTCTGCCTTCAATAATCCTGTTGTAGGTTGTCCCCTGGCTGTGTGGACTCCGGGGCAGAGCCGGGCCGGAGTCGGATGATCAGCCGGGAAGAGTTTGCCAAGCAGCTCCAGCTCTCTGACCCCCAGACAGTGGCTGGTGCCTTTAGCTACTTCCAGCAGGTATGGGAGCCGGGATGCGGAGGGCAGCACCCAGGGCATGCCCTCCGGATTGTCATGCTCGGGATTTGAGAATCGTATCCAGGTAGCCAATCAAATGCATTGGATGATTAATTTGGAGTCCGCACTGGATGTTTCCATAGCTACGGTTAGATGGCTATCTTCTGAGGTTCACTAAGGGTTAAGGGGTGTCTTTTTTACATAACACTTCTAGCACGTGGAAGAATAGGGTTTTAATTGCTGTGGGGACAAATAAGAGAAATAATCTATCTGCTTTGGAGACTGGCAAAGATGGGGGAGGCTCATAAGGCCTTGTGGGTACCGAGTGAGGGGTCTTCAGAGAAGACTCTCGAAGGTCAGGTAGTAGAGCACATACACAGGAGATGACATGGGCAGGTTAGACAGTTAAGAGTTTGAGACCCAAAGGCATTTGCAGTACTTGGGCAAATTTCTTTAAATATCTCATAGCTTCTCTGGGGGATTTTTGAACTTTCTCAAGAAACTTGGCAAACCATATATATTTCCTGGAACTTAACCAGGCTTTTGTGTTGAATTACAGTAATCCCAAAAGATTCTTAAAGTTCATGAACCAGCCACCAATAGTAGTCCCAAGGCTTTTTGATTTGAAATGCAGGCGGTGACTCTCAACATCCTCTGAAGGGGCAGAGAGTGACTGTGTGGGGTCACTCCTTGGATTGAGGCAGATAGCCCGAAAGGAGCCTCCCCACTTAGCCTGCAGCAGAACAAAACCAAAACTGCCCCATAGAGTTGGCACTGCAGACATCCTCCTTGGTTATGCCAGTGACCCCTCTCTTACCGTCTGTTGGACCAGTTTTTGCACAGAGGCTGTTGGTCGAGAACCAGTCTTTCCAGCTTGGGGGCCGGGAAGGTCCTCCGTGACATACCAGATAGTTGATGTCAAGTTCAGCGTCCCTGAGGGATTCCTTAACATCCCCAAGCGATCCCTTTTTAGGAGAGCTTTGTCACAGGTGACTTGGGGGTAAACCCATGATCCGAGAGAATGCTCAGGGATCCTGGAAAGTTTGGGGCTCACCGTTCGGAGGGAAACAGACACAGGGTCCTGCTGCCTGAGAAGCAGCTGGGAAGACGGCAGCACCAAAAGGCAGAGCAGGAAGGAGGGGCTGGTCCCCACATTACTTTGGTTTCTGTTTCACCCTCCAGGATGCCAAGGGTTTGGTGGATTTCCGAGATGTGGCCCTCGCATTAGCAGCTCTGGATAGGAGCAGGAGCCTGGAGGAGCTGACTCGCCTGGCCTTTGAGGTACCAGGGGTTGGAGAGTGAGCAGGTGCCTGTGCTTGCTGTTCCCAGAGGCCTGTGTGGTGTTCTGTGCCCAATAGCTTCTCAAGAATAGCTGCTCGGCATCCACCCCAGTATCACATTGTCTAGAACTACAGAGTGGCTCCGGTGTCTGCATGGAGACATAGCTGAGGGTAGCAGCTATGAAGCGGGGGGGAGGGGTCAGTGAGGGGCCTGTCTGGAAGAGCCGCTGGACAGTGTGGGACAGTGGCATGAGGAGCGCTTGACTTGCACCCCTTTCTCTCCAAGCTCTTTGCTGAGGAGCGAGCAGAGGGGCCCGGCCGCCTGCTGTACAGGGACGGCTTCAGCACTATCCTGCACCTGCTGCTGGGCTCGCCCCGCCCGGCCGCCGCCTCTCTGCATGCTGAGCTCTGCCAGGCAGGACCCCAGCAAGGCCTGTCCTTCTGTGAGTCACTGCCTCCTCGGCCCTTGGGCGGGCACTTTTGGGTACAGTCAGCGCCAGGACCTGAAAAGAGCACAGCAGGCGGGGGAGTAGGAGCCGGTGTGCTGGGGGTCAGAATGTCAGAGGACAGGCTGGAGAGCAGGAGGACGGGGACTTGGGGTTGAGAAGCGAAGCAGAGCACAGAGCGACAGGACACTCCAGTTCTGGGGAAAGAGCAGGGGTGCGCCGTCCTCTCACACGCGGGGCTCTCCCCCGCCCCATCCCTCTCTGCCCGTGCAGGTCAGTTCCAGGACTTCTCCCTCCACGACCCACTTCACGGGAAGCTCTTCAGCACCTACCTGCGCCCCTCTCAGATACCAAACGCCTCGTCCCCAGGCAGCCCCCCTGTTCTGGCCAACGGGACTGTGCAAGCGCCCAAGCAGAAGGGCGACTGAGCACCTCAGCCTCCCCCACTCGCGTCCGGCCTGCAGACTCAGGGCGGCGCCGGGGCCTCCCCTGGGCCCGAAGCCCATCTCCACTCCTGCTTGGTTTTTTGTTATAGTTGTTTGTTTTTTAAGTTGGTTTTCATTTTATGTTTGTTTGGTTTTTTTTGTAAGAAACTATTTTATATATAAATATAAATATATATCTATATCTATTTAAAAAAAAAAGTGCAGTATCATCACTTGGTATCATCAGCAGGGAAGGAAAGGAATTCGTGATTGCAGGGTGTCCGCTAGGAGACCCCAGCGACACCCAGGGTCAGCCCTCCTGGCCGGAGCTGGGCGCAGCAAGCCGCCTCACTTCTGGCGGGACAGGGCTCTTGCCTGCACAGAAATCAGGCGGCTCACATCCTCGCCTGCTCCATAGCCCATATACACACCTTTTAATAGGCTTCCTTGTGAGCCTCTTTTCAGCCTATTCCCTCTTGTTCTGTCCTCGTTAAGAGATTGAAAAATAGCTTAACTGCTATTCCATATTTAATAATCCTACTGGGATTGACCCACCCCCCGCCCCCAGTCGAGTGAGCAGAAGGCTGTGTCAGTCGAAACCACACAGGAGCGTTTTTCTGCAGTGGGATGAGTTAAGGACATTTAAGTTCCTTCTCTCTAGCCTCTTTTCAGGGAAGAAGAAAATAAGGACCCCTAAAGAAAGTGCTTTGTCTAGACAGAATTATGAAAAATTAATTAGCTATAGGAAATTAGGCATCTATCCCAGAGATCCGACTGGTAAATGAAAGGCCCTCGCTACCTATAGACCGAAAGATAATGATAGGTCGTGGAGAGAAGCCCTCCCAGCCCCAGGCCCAGGCTTTGGGTGAGGGGACGTCTCGGTGTTGGGGTTTATCAGGGAGCCGAGATGAGATGAGGCTGGAATGGCATCTGAGTCCATCAGATACGAAGCTATCCCCCGCCCTTGACAACCGCTTTCCCCATCTGGCCGCGCACATGTGTACAAAAAGGCACAGTGAAAGCATTTCCAACAACAAATCTTTATTTTCCCTCCCCACTCCTTCCAAAGGTGCTTGCCCCTCACCTCCCACACCAAGGGGATCACCTCCAGTCTGGCCAGTGTGACCTCCTGCCCCACCCTCGCAACTTGCAAAACCACCGAAAAAACAGCTGAGAACAAATCTTGGTGTAGTCGGGGTGAAACCTGCCCTGGGGCCTTCTGGTGGATGGGCAGCTGGGGCAAGACTGTCCCAGCGCTCCCTACTGGCTGCGGCGTCGTTTCTTCCTCTTGCCTGTGACAAAACTGTCACGCCGCCTTTTACGAGGCTGTGAGGGTCGACCCACTCCCAGAGTCAGGGGCTTCTCCCCGGAGACCCCAAATTCAACTCCTGGGTAGGGCCTCTTTTCAGCAGCAGATGCACCTTCAGCTAGGCCTCGCTTCCTAGACTTGGCAACGGGATATGGAGGTTGGCCAAGGCCTCTTGCCTCAGCAGAGAGGGAACGGGATGCTTTCTGGACACCCTGACCTGTTGAAGGCAGGCCTGAGGTGGGGCGAGGGCTGAGGGGAAAGCCCCTTGGAGACAGGCTAAGTTTAGAGGCCAAAAGGTAAGCAAAGTTGGAGAGTTCCTCATCCTCCTCTTCCTCCTTGCCCTTCGCTTTGGCCCCATCTGCTGAACTGCATGTTTCATTAACAGGAGAGGTCTCTCTCGGGACTAAGGCACCCCTGGCTCCCCATCTAGGGGAAGTGCTCCCAAGGCTATGGTGAGATGTCGGCTTGGGGGTCCCGTGTGCACAAGACTTTTGATTTCCTGATACGAGAGCAGGGTCTTTAGGCTTAGATGAACCTGTATCCTTGCCCTGTCTTTGGGGGTCATAAGAATTAAAACTAGATGGGCAGCTATCTTCACCTTCCCCTAGCTGGAGGTTCCGGGCATCTCTAACATCTGGTGTGTTGATGTGGTCTGTGCTTTCCAGTTGAGCGGGAACAGAATTATCTCCAATGCCCCCCTCTTGGCTGGCCTCAGGAAAAGCAGAGACATCCTGGGTCCCCAGGATGAAGATATTTCCCTGACATGCAGGCAGGAGGGTTTCTTTGGAAGCCCCCAGTGTGGAGGCATCAATTCTGCTCTCCCGCAATGGGGAGCAAACTTCAGCCCACAGATCACTGGGGTCTTCTGTGGTTTCGGGGCTCCGTTTGCTATCTTTAGGCCTCACAGCTGGGCTGTTGGCCCTCAGGGGTCCTGGCAAGCTGCAGTAGTTTCTCTTTTCTAGGGCTACTATGGCATCTGGGCCTTCACAGGGAACTGCACTAGTGACCCCATCTCCAGGCGTGGTGGTCTCTCCGGGACCCAGAGAAATGTTGCTTCTGGAACCCAATGCCTGGCAGCCTCCCTGGTGCTCAGCTACACACACCCTGTCATGGAAATTGTCTATGACCTCCTCGATCTGCAAGGGCAACTCCAAGCCTATGGCATCCATCTCACCTCTCAGCCAAAATCCTGGACTGAGAGAGGTTCCATCCCTGTCCTCAGCCTCAGCTGCTCCAGCAGAAGGGTTCTGATCATAAGTCTGAACTATGGGAGGACCTCTATCATCTCCCCACATGACCCCTGAAGAGCCTTCCTGAGGTGCCCCTGATGGCTCCTCCCCCTGTGGAAGCCCTTCAAGACCTCCCACCTGTTCCCTCTGCAACACCAGCACCTGTTTCTCTAGCCCCTGTCCTTGGAGAGGAGCCAGATCTGTGAGTCCAACATCCAGATGGGGAATTATCTCAAGTGGTGGGGGACCTTCCTGCCAGCAAAGGGACACAGACTTAGAGGTCCTCTCAGCCACCAGGGGGCGCTCATGGGACCCCGCACGGCCCAGTTGCTCATCCTGCTGTGGAGATGTCCGGTTGGTGACCTTCCCAGAGCCTCTCCTCACCATTCCTAAGGGCCCCCGAGTCCCCTGTGGAACTGCGAGTTCTAGCTGCAGGTCCCAGCTGCTGGGGGATGGCAGAGCATTCCCATCACTGCGCATCCCCCTCAGACCATCTAGGGCCCGCTCCTGCTCACCATGCACTTCTCTTGCCCGATTTCCTGGAGAAGCAGACTTTCCAAGGCGAACAGTGCCCCCGGCCCCCCGAGACCCAGGTGAGGGCCGAAGCCGCCCACCCCCATCTTCATCCTCATCAGAAACAGAAGGACTGGAGTCTGACTGGACTCCGCTGCAACTTGGAGGTGCCTCTGCATCCCCCTCCTCTTCCAAGGCCAGCAGCCGCTTCTGGACCAGCTAGAAGGAGAACAGAGGCCATCTATATACATGGTTGTGAGACGAGGTGGCTGAGTGGGTGGTGAGGAGGTGGTGCCTGAGCAGGGCAGAGGATGCAAGCAAGGGGCTTAAGTGATGGCATCAAAGACGGATCGGGCTTCTTCTGTTTCCTGGGCCTCATTCCCATACTTTGAGCCCTTACACTACCTTTTTCTGCATTTCCACAGTCGCTCGCCTACTTGTGCACCTAGAGCCCAATCCTGAAGTCGTTCATCATACCATCCAAGACAATATAGGGTTAGATAAAATCACACACTCTTATTCTGATTTCCCTCCCTCCCAGACTCACCTGGGCAAGACTGAGTCCTTCTTCTTGCTCCAGCTCCTCAATTAAGGCTAAGGGGTCCCTCTGTTGTTCTGGGGACAGCAGATCTGCCAGAAATCGAGGGTGAATGACAGCCTCCACCTGGGGAACAGAAGGAAAAGTGGTGTGAGTACTGGACAGGAGGTAACCTATGAGCAAGAGGCTCTACAGAAGAAGCCATGAACAGCCCTCACCCCCCACACACACTGTCCCCACTGCCAACTCTCCTCCTGACCATGTCCACCACCAGCTATATATCTACCTGTATAGCATTTCTCAGGACAGAAGAGCACCTAGTTCTTAAGTACCTCTGGAAGAGGTAGGAATTCCTAGCATCTACTAAAACCAGCCCACCTTGGAAACAAAGACCTCCTGAGAACACAGCTCATCGATGTAGCTCAGGAGATCTGGATCTGGATATATCCCTTCCTCCTCCTGCTGCCGTTCTTCCTCTTCCTGTCTTCCATCTGCCTCCCCAGGGGCCGAGTCAGTCCCTGCCAGCCCTTCCATGATGTCAGCATACTCTTTCACAGCTTCTGGTGGAATCTCCTTGGGCGCCTGGGCTGCTGGAGGCCTCTGGGTCTTGCGCTGACGCCTGCGTGGGGCCCGTGCCTTAGAGGCTGCCTTCTTGGGAATGTACACTAAGGGGCAAGAGGGAAAGGAGACACACAAGTGGCACACACCACGGGCTACATCTGAACTCTTCGTAAGGGGAGCAGTCTGGGTACTCTGAAATGGTTCTAGTCTGAACCAGGTCAGCCTGAAACTGCCAGGTGTGGGAAAAGATTGAGAAGCTGGAGGGTCTGAAAGAGGGAATCACTGCATGAGGGATCTTGAACCCCCTGAATATCTAAGAAGTCCCCTGATTCAGTGTCCATTTCTTAGGTTGTATGATGTGCCTTATTTACAGTCTTGGCGACAGAGTAGTTGGTTCATTTGACCAAGGTCAAAACCTACTTTGGGACAAGGAGAACTTGAGAACCCAGCCTCTTGTGTGTCCTGTCTGGAACTTCGAGAGCTTCTTCCCGGAAGAAGGTAGTGAGGGCAATGCCTTCCTAACCTGTGACTGGCCTCTGAGCCATTGGCCTAGGACTCCTGTTGGAACTGTAGGCTTACCTGGCTGCTGGCCAGGCTCAGCTGGTGAGGGCCCTGGAGGATCACGTTTCAGAGGGGCCGCAGGAGGCAGGCCCTGGGGCCTGTTCATCAACTGTGTGTTCTGAATCTGCATCTCCTCCTCCGCCTCAAACTCCATGAACCTGCAGAAGGTGAGGAAGGGCAGTGCTGAGGCCAGATCCATCTGGGACTCGGGCACCAGCGGGTGCCAAGCATAGCTAAGAATGGATGTGCCCTCACGTAGGCAAAACTGCATCTAAGTCAGTCACTGAAGAGGGAGCTGCTTACCGACAGTCAAACAACAGTTCTGGGGGCTTCTCACAAGGTCACCACTAGTCCCTTCATCCACGGCAGTCATTCAGAAAGCTTGTTGAGAAACGAACCATCTGCTACTTGTACGTTTCCACCCCTATTTCATCCAGGTATATGGCAGCAATTAATACAGACTTGTTCAATTCAATCAGTCATTTCTACCACATCCGCACAGGAAACCTCAAGCAGGTCTCTCCTCAAGGAAGGCCTCTACCCGGAGGACACCACAGAGAATGGCTGAGATCTTGAAACAGGGCAAGGGTGGCAGTTGCCACCAGGGGGCAGTGCTGCGACCCACCAGTCCTGAGGCCCTGGAAGGGTAAATCTAGGTTTGTGAGTCCAGGAGGTTTGGGGAGAGAAAATGGAAGCCAAGCTTGAATGAAAAAAATTTCCTCAGAGTTGTTATTTTCCCAGGAAGCAGAAGACGGCTGATCTGTTTTTGACGCCATTCCAAGAATTTTATCAAAATTTTTATGAATCAGCCTGGAGACAGACCACTCTGGGCATCTAGGACCCTGGCTTCCCCTGAGCAACCTCTTCTGGAGCCAGCCCCTGCCAGGGTGAGCAGGCTAAACAATTTCTGTGGGGGGAGGGGGGAGGGGCGCCTCCCTGGTGGTGCAGGGGTTAAAGACACCGTACGCAATCACCAGCCACTCTGGCATGAGTTCAATCCCCAGCCAGGGAGCTAACCCATGTGGCTCAGCAGACTTCTCCTGTCTCCCCCGCTGCTCCCCTCAGCAGTGTATTTCAGTCAGTCTGCCTGTTCTGTTCCCCACTCTGTCTCTGGTGAATCCTCTCAGCCCCCGCACCTCTGGCCTACACCTAGTTCTTGTATGCACAAATAAGTAAAAATAAATCTTAAAAAAAAAAAAAAAAAAAAAACCTATCTGTGCAACTATTTCCTGAGGAGGTCCCAAGGTCTGCACCAATAGCACTTCCACCCGGTGGAGGAAGTAGCAAGGCTCCCACACATAAGCCTTTCCTATCTGTCCCAGCCCTCTCAGTAATTCCGTGCCCTGGAATGAACAAGGGCTCGCCAGACTCACTTTTCTGCCATCTCATAAAAGATCATCCGGTCGAAGTTGCTGGTTCGCTCCCATTCCTGCACAGCCCTTGGCAGTCCCTCCTCCAGAGTCATGGTGGGCTTCAGCCGGGCCAGGGAACGAAGCACTGGACTAAAATTCACACTGGGTCAGTCACAGTCTACAAGTGTACCCCCCACTCACCTATCCTGACATCCACCTCCACCCACACCCCCTGACCCTCTTGGATCTAACATGCCCCTCAGTCCCTGTCACATTTCACTACTGATTGAACTTCCACACCCTCAACCTCCCATCCATTCATGTACGGTACTCTCTTTCCCACCAGCATACACAGTTCTCACACAAAATCAAACAATTCTCCCGACCTTTTGAAACCAACCACCCTCAATTCTCACAGTGCTGTCTTCAACTAAACATTGGAAAAAGAACACTCATGTTAGTAAATTAATGGGATTTAATGTAAAGAAAGCTTAACCCCACCCACCCAAGGTTTCTTGCATTTTAAAAAAAGGCACTTGCTAACTTAATGGAATGCCTAATTAAAGTTTGTGTGGTGTTATTTGTTGGCTTTAAATTTTTTTTTCTTTGCCTCTGAGATACCTCTCATGACAAATGTCAACTCTAGACCCAAGTTTTTTGTGATCCTGAGGAATTCAACAACCCAGCTGAAAGGGAACACTTCACTTTTGCCTACCTGACTTCCCAAGAGTCCTTCAAATTTTATTGTACCTAGAATCACCTGGTGAAGCTTGCTATAACTATAGATTCCCAAGACCCCAGGACCTGGCATTTTACCAGCTTCCCAGGTGAGTTGCAGAGCATCTGGTCTGCACTTTGGGGGGAGACCCTGCCCACAGCCCAAGTGGGGAAAGCAGTAGGACCTTGCAGCCTCAAAAGTTGGCATTTCATCCTGCCAGACTCCGCAAGAGAACTCAGGGCTGCAAGGGAGCAGGGAGTTATGATGGTGAGCTGCACCCCGGGCTTTGGGGGAGGTTTTTGATTTATTCACGCCAAAGTCACAGGTATCAGCCACTGGAGGAACACCATTTTTTTGAAGTCCAGTGAAAGACTGCATGTGAATCATAGTGCTTTACACAAAATGTGAGAGGTACAGTCCAGTTGAGAGAGGCTTTGGGTCTGTGTGGGGAGAAAAAATTAGCCCAGAAGGTTATTGACTCTGCTTTACAAACACAACACACAGCCTGTGACCCCAGGCTCCTCAGCTAAACATCCATTTATATTCTTAGGCATAACATCATTTTGGCCTTTTCTGAGTTCCTTTCCTCTTCTAGATTATCTTTTTATAATTATAATAATGATGATGATGATGATCACCATCATAGAAACTACCACTTAATAAGCCATTTTCTGTGCCAGGCAGTTTACTAAACACTTCACATACATTAACTCATTTCATCTTCTCAGCATCCTCAGAAGTACGTATAATTATCCCCTTTACGGTTGAGAAAATCAAGGCAAAGATATGAAATGTCAAGCCCAGGATCACAAACCTAGTGAAGGGTGTAGAGCCGTGGACCTCGACCCCTAAGCACCTCCCTATTTCAACCTGAATAAGGCCCCACCGTCTTCCTCTCCCACAGGAATGGGTCAAGGCCCAGGACACCTCATGCTGGCCGGTGTGGACAGCTCCACTCCCCAACAGAAGGTAGTAAAAAAAAATGGGGAGACACTGGCACTTGGTGGCAGAGACTTAAGTCCAATCATTGCTCTTGCTTTGTGACAGAAAACCTCTCTGAGCTTCAACCTTCTGTCTGTAAATGTTGCTTACCCAAAAAAACGCTTGCCTGAACTCAGGGTTGTGAGGATTTATTGAGAAGACATCTGAAAGCTTGCTGTAAACTGGGAGGTCAGGTGAAGGCTTATCATCATCCTCATCATTATTTACCTTCCTCATCCTGCTTTTAGTTCTTATAATATCACCATTACTTTCAGGGCCTGCTCTCAAGTATTCCTAAATAGTCTAACTGCTTTTAAAAGTTCTCCTCAAAGTCCTCCTTATTTAAAAGCCCCAGATAACTGATCAGTCTCCACACTTACATAAGAAAGCAGGAAAGGGCTTCTGCATCAGGACTTTGAGACAAGTGCCTCCGGGCCAAAGCTTTGTAGCGCTGCCAACGACGGAAGTTCTCATAAACACCCTTGGAGGTATAGGAGAGGTCACCCAGGGAGGGCTTGGGTTGGGTGGCCTCAGGACCTCCTTCCCCGGTTGTTCCAGGTGGCCCTGGCCAAGCTTTTTCCGGGGACACAGTGGGAGCCAGTTGGGCAGCTGGAGGTGGAGCCTGAGGAGGAAAGCCTAGGAGGCCCTCCTGGCTCACCCCAACAGCCTTAGTGGATAGAAGAGTCTTCACATTAGAGGCTGTCACAAGTCGAGGGGTAGGACCCTGAGGGACCCCGCAGGGAGCGCCTGAGGCAATCCAGTTGAGGGTGGTCTGAGTAAGGATAAAGTTCTGAGCTTGAGAGGATTCAGTTGGCCCCCCTTCCGTCTTGACTTTGATAATGACCTTGCCAGCATCAGCCCCACTGGGGCCTGTACCCCCATCCCCTGTCACCAACAATGGGTTGGGGAAAGCAGAGAGCACCAGAGGGTTGCCAGGAGAGAATGTTGAAGGCATGGGGGGCTGCGGAGGCGGCTCCCAGGGTGATGGGTCTGGCAGGCCTGGAGCAGGTGGGGGTAAGGGAAGCGCCGTGAAAGAAGGTAGGGCAGTGCCAGGTTTCATGGTCATATCCGGTCCAGGCAACGGAGATGCTGTTGAGACAAAGAAAAAGCAGGAATGGAGTAGGAGAAAGGAGATCAGATATTAGTCATTAGTCCCTAGAGAGTGTGAACACTGATTCTCAACAGGTAAGAGAGGGGATACAGAGCAGGCACGAGCGTGGTCTGCAAATATAACCCCGAGTGATTTTGATGGCCTTACTCCTAGTTAAGAATTACTTCCCTGTGGGGGGCCTCCCTGGTGGCACAAGGGGTTAAGACGCAACCTATGAAGCTGTCCGCAGCCTCTGCGGCATGAGTTCAATCCCTGGCCTGCAGGGAGCTACCCACATGGCGCACAGACCTCTCCTGTCTCACCCGCTGCTCCCCTCCTCAGTGTACTTCGGTCAATCTGCCTGTTCTGTTCCCCGCGCTCTGTGTCTGGTGAATTCTTTCACCCCTCCACACCTTTGGCCTGTACCCCGGTTCTTATATGCATAAATAAATAAATCTTAAAAAAAAAAAAGAATTACTGCCCTGGGACTCTTGATTCATACCCCATAACGAATCCCATCCAGCACGCAGGTACATCTCTTCTTCCTACCTATCCCAGCACATCCACACCACCCTCTCTCTAGCTGCCCTGTTACTGCCCCTGGAGGGCAGGTAGGTGTGCATTAGATGTTTGGTTCCCAGGAGTTGTGTGCTAGAACAATTCAGAAGCGACTAGACAAGTGTCAGGGTGTGGGCAAGGAGAGGGCGGTGTGGGGAGGGGGTGGATTCCAGATCTATAAGCAGTTGCTAGACAAGTTAAACTCAGGTACTGCAGACTGTCTGTAATTCTTTTTTTTTTTTTAAGATTTATTTATTATTTATACATGCACTGGGTACAGTCAGAAGCGCGGGAGGGTGAGAGAATTCACCAGAGCCAGAGCGGGGAGCAGAGCAGGCAGAAGGACCGAAGTACACTGCTGAGGGGAGCAGCGGGCGGCAGGAGGGGTCTGCATGCCATGCGGGACCCTCCTCTGGTGGCTGGGGAGCAGCCGGGGATCCAACCAGCGCTGCAGATTCTGCGGGCAGCTTCGCAACCCAGCGCTCAACAGCTGCACCCCAGGGAGGCCCCCCCTTTTTTTTTCCTTAAAGATTCATTTATTTATTTATACAAGCACTGGATACAGTCAAAGCACGGGAGGGTGAGAGGATTCACCAGAGCCAGAGCGGGGAGCAGAACAGGCAGGCTGACGAAATACACTGCTGAGGGCAGCAGCGGGCGTGGCAGGAGAGGTCTGCGCGCCATGTGGGACCCTCGCCAGGCGGCTGGGGATTGAACCGGCGCTGCAGAGGCTGCGGGCAGCTTCGTAACCCAGTGCTCAACCGCTGCGCCACCGGGGAGGCCCCCAGTTCTGTTCTTGAAGAGAAAATTCTAGAGTGGGCCTCCCTGCCGGCGCAAGGGGTTAAGATGCAACCTGTGAAGCTATTCGCAGCCACTGCAGCACAAGTTCGGTCCCCGGCCAGCCAGGGAGCAGCCCACGTGGCGCAGCAGACCTCTCCTGTCTCACCTGCTGCTCCCCTCAGCAGTGTATTTCAGTTAATCCGCCTGTTCCGTTCCCGACTCTCTCTGGTGAATCCTCTAACCTCCACACCTCTGGCCTGTACCCCAGTTCTTGTATGCATAAATAAATAAATCTTTTTTTTTTTAAAAAAGAAAATTCTAGAGCAGACTCCATCTGCCTGAAGAATACACAAGAACTCGGGCCTTCCTCTTGAACCCTCTTTGTGCCACTTGTACCACACCCCAACATTTTACTGTCCCCTCCAACAGAAATACACATTGAAGGGGTCCCTACCCCAGAGATGCAAGTTGCCATCCCTTCTCTGTATCCAGAATTTTCCTCCAAGGTGCCCTGACCTGCCTCCTCTTCCTTGACCAATCTCCAGGCTTACTGGCACAATCCCTAGCCTCTGACAAGTGTGATGCCTACGGTGGTGTCTAGTGTTCTCACATCTCTCTTGCTCTGCCAGAAGAGCTTGTTCCCAGGTAAAGTATCAAAGTTGAATCTTCAAGGATGAGAGTAGGTGACAGGGACACCCCACCTCCCCACCCACCCACTTATAGACTTACCTCCCTCTGAAGCCATCCTGTTAGGTTTGGGCACTAATCGTGGCTGTCTGGAAGCCTCCAGAATGAAAGTCAGATCCAGGAACCAGAGAGTAACCTGGCTCCAAGAGATACACAAGGATCCAAGGAAGGGAAGGTAAAGATCAGATCAAAACAGAACTAGAATCTAGGACTCAAGGCATTCTGCCGTGGGGGAGGGGAAAGTTAGGTGGGAGTGGAGAAAAGTGTTACAAAGGGTTCTATAAGCGGGGAATAACCAGGAATTCTCTCCAAACTGCAGTATGGCAACACAATTGTTGATTGCTGCATACCTCTTTAGGGCAACCTGTAAATTCCTTCTCAGATTCCCAACATTATAATTTCACATCTTGGTTCCCTATAAAATTCTTCACCGTTTCAATACCTTTCACTCCCTCCCAGTCTGCAACTGACTTTCTATTAATAGCAGGTTGTGGTAAATCCTTGACTTAACTCAATGTTGGCTGCAAGATATAGCTCTGAACCAAATTCAGAGCACAGTCTGTGTATTTAAGGATCAAGGGAACCAAATGTTTGAAATTAGGATTGTTTCAGAGGGTATTTGATCGCTATGTGCATATCACTTCCTTGGAAAGCTGTCTGCAATCCCTCAAGAGCCCATTCCCAGTAGCCCTGCAGTTCATAGAAGATTCAGTCTAAAATTGCATGACCAAAAGTCCTACTGTTTGTTACATTACTTTGTTTTAAATTTTGGTTAAATCATTTTAAATTTTTTAATGAATAATATATTAGCAGGGTTCAAAAGTCAAACTGTGCAAAATGGAATAAGCAGCAATTCTTCCTCCTACTCCTTTCCTCTGGAGCCTAGTTCTGTAGCCCAGAGGAAGCACATATTATGCTTCTTATGAATCTCTGCAGAGATATTTTATTCAATTATAAATAAGTACAAACGATATTAAAAAAAAACTTTCAGGTTTTTCTGGTTATAAAGTGAATATATGTTCTAACGCTTTTGCATTATAAGTAGTGCTGCGACCACCATCTTTGTAAAGGTATCTGGGCTCCAATTCTCATTTCTTTAAACCAGCCTTAGAAGGAGAATTTCTACGTTCTTTTAAAATTCGAAATCCCTTTAGGAGGTTTATCTTATGCTATTATTAGCTACTCACCATGTAAGAAAGAGCGCTGAATTTGTAGTAAAGAGACCTGAGTTTGAATCTTGGTTCGACCACTAAGTCACACTTCACCAGTTTCATGAAATAACCTCACGCCCTCTGCTCTGTACAGAGCAGCGAATACCCGTCATGCACTCTTTACCGCCAATACTTTAAAATAGGGCGTGGGGAACCGCATGTTTTAAAGAGGGGGGTAAAGAAAATCTTACTTCTTTCCCACGATATATGGGGCCGAATCTTGCAGCCCTCGTTTGCCCAGCGGCTAGAAAACGACGACTTTGGAAATGGGTGTTCACCTTGCGATAAAGAAAGGATTCTATACACCAATGTTCAGCCTCGCCTCTCCCTACCCCCCCTTAAGCCTAGCAGTGTCTGGCACACAGTGGGCGCACCCCACGAGTCTGAGGACGCCTGCAAAGTTGCAACTGGCCTGCAAAGTTGCAACTGGGCGCCTGTGCCTGCAATGTTGCAAGCAGGTTGCAACCAGGCCCGGTCCTGCTCTACTGCCCCCTCTACCGGCCAGTTGAAAAAGTGTCTACAGTGGACTACATTTCCCGGCGTGCCTTGAGGCAGAAGCGGGCCGGCTATACCGGAAGGAAACTGACAAGCACGCGGGGCTGGCGGGCCGGGCTGCGGAGGGAGCTGAGCGCGGGGTTGTGGCTTCTGGCTTCTGGCTTCAGTCTGGTCATGTTTCTCCAGTATTACCTCAACGAGCAGGGAGAGCGGGTCTATACGCTGAAGGTGAGAAGAGGAAACAGGTTGTAAGCGGGCTTGGGGGGGCGGTTGAGACACCCCCTGGTTGACGGCTGGGTGGGGGGACCAGACCCCTGGAGTGGTGGGAGCCGGCTGCCCCCACCCCGTGCCAGCCTCAGTCTCCCTGGTGTCGCTAGTGACTGGGCGGTCCCTCCATTCTTTTTTTTTTTTTTTTTTAAGATTTATTTATTAATGCATACAAGACTGGGGTACAGGCCAGAGATGTGGTGGGGGGGTGGTGGTGAGAGGATCCAACAGAGACAGAGTGGGGAGCAGAACCGGCAGACTGACTGAAACACACTGCTGAGGGGAGCAGCGGGCGAGACAGGAGAGGTCTGCCTCGCCGTGTGGGTTGCTCCCTGGTGGACTGAGGATCGAACTCGTGCTGTAGAGGCTTCGGATTGCTTCATAGTGCGGTGCTTAACCCCTTGCGCCATCAGGGAGGCCCAGTCTCTCCACTCTTGCTGAGATGATGTCCTCTCTGTCTCTCTTCCTTGAGCAGAAACTTGACCCCATGGGACAACAGACCTGCTCAGCCCATCCTGCTCGGTTCTCCCCAGATGATAAATATTCTCGACACCGAATCACCATCAAGAAACGCTTCAAGGTCCTCATGACCCAGCAACCGCTCCCTGTCCTCTGAGGGTCCCTTAAATGACATATCACTTATGCCGCCTGTTACCCCTCAGAGACCTTCTATAACCAGAAAGAGCCTGAAGCTTTTCACCCTTACTTTCTGAAATCCTGTTTCATCGTCGCCTTTGATCATACTTTTGAGGCAATGATGGTAGCATCCCCTGTGAAGGGAACAAGTTCGAATCTCTGTTTCATATTTTGGATCACTGCCAGGTTATTAAAATGATTTGAAAGAGCTCTTTTTTTTTTTTTTTTTAAATTTTTATTTATTTATTTATACAAGCACTGGGTACAGTCAGAAGCGCGGGAGGGTGAGAGAATTCGCCAGAGCGGGGAGCAGAGCAGGCAGAAGGACCGAGGTACACTGCTGAGGGGAGCAGCAGGCGCCATGTGGGACCCTCCTCCGGAGGCCGGGAGCAGCTGGGGATCGAACCGGCGCTGCAGAGGCTATGGGCAGCTTTGCAACCCAGCGCTCAACCGCTTAGCCACCGGGGAGGCCCAGAAAGAGCTCTTTTTTAACGATTTATTTATGTATACAAGAGCTGGGGTACAGGCCAGAGATGCAGGGGGTGAGAGGATCCACCAGCAACAGACTGGGGAACAGAACAGGCAGACTGACTGAAATACACTGCTGAGGGGAGCAGCGGGCGCTCCAGGAGAGGTCTTCTGCGCCATGTGGGTTGCTCCCTGGCTGGGGATCGAATTGGTGCTGTAGAGGCTGAGGATTGCTTCATAGTTCGGTGCTTAACCCCTTGTGCCACCAGAGAGGCCCGAAAGAGCTCTATTTTGTGTTTAAATACAAAAACAGTGAAGAATATGAGCAAGAAGAATACCCCAGGGTATAAGACCACTAGGAAGAAAAACAAGCCATCACTCTGGCACTAGTGCTGTGCTGGTAGGAGGAGGAGGGTGTTGCAAAAAGTGGAGAAAGGCTCTCCCACATCAGTCAGCACTCCCTGAAAATACCCCTGTTGTAACCTAAGTAATCCTGGCCTCTTGAAATGATATTTTGACTCAAAATGGAAGAATTGCTTGAAAAGTACTAACAGCCATATGCAGGGGGAAGGCAGTGAGTTGAAATCAGAAGACTAGGATTCATCCCTTTTGTATTAGTCAAGGAAGGCCACCTAACCTGGTTAGTCCTATTTTTCTCAGCATTTCTAAGTTCTGTTGCAACTGTAAAATCGATAGGGTTTTGTGGTGGATCTTAATATATCTACAAGGTTAGTCCAACCATTGTGAATAGGAATGCCTTTATGAATGTTTATTGCCCCTCTGGAAATATTCCCAGGCTTTTAGTTCTTTCCATCAAGGAGTTATCTTCTTATATACACCTAACTTTATATTCTCTCTGGCAGCTAACTAACTGCTATGTGGAACTCCGCTTGGATCTTATAGAAAATGAGATATGAGAAATTCAAGCAGTGATTTTGTCTTTCCAAGCTATGGTTGGGGGTTAATTAAAAAAAAATTGTTGGAGATTTCTTAGTACTTGAGATTAGAGGGAGGAAGCAAAACATTATGTAAAGATATTCTAGAAATGCTAGCTTCTTTTTCTCCTTGTCAAGTTAATTAACTCATTTTCCCATCTTCTCATTGATAGTGCATTTGAATACTGATTGTTTAAGGCCACTGATTTAAAAATTGAGTTGTGGTGATTATATTCCAATTATGTAACCTTTTTTTTCTACTGCATCAAGATTCTAGACTCTACAAGTACATTTAATTTAAATCACTTGCAGATTTGATTTGTCAAGATTGGTCCTTGGAAAGAGGTAAATATGTCTTGTATTCTGATGTCTGACCATCCCAGCAGAAAAGTTCAGGATAGTTGTTGACTACTGAGAAAAATTAAGCCTCTTGAGTTGGGTTATAGTTAATACAAGACAGATGATTTAATTACTGAAGTTTGTCAGAATGGTGATATGGGGTACCTTTTTCCTGTCAACTAGTTTTTTATTTCTTAGCTTATAGCGTTTTTAACATTGGATCTGAGGGATTTTAAAGAGTTATCCTATCTAAATTGAGGGGATTATGATGGAAGAGATGTTAAGAATTGTGCAAATCACTAGAAAAAGGATCTGCTAGGGAGTTTTCTTAAGCAACAAAGTCAGTAAATGATACTGCTATTGATTTTATTTTTCTTTAAAGATTTATTTTATTTATTTATGCATACAAGAGCTGGGCCAGAGGTGCAGGGAGGTGAGAGGATTCACCAGAGATAGAGTGGGGAACAGAACAGGCAGAGAGACTGAAACACACTGCTGAGGGGAGCAGTGGGGCGAGACAGGAGAGGTTTGCGGTGCCATGTGGGATTCCTGCCGGCCAGCCAGGATCGAACCCGCGCTGCAGAGGCTGCGGACAGCTTCACAGTGCGGCGCTCAACCGCCTGCGCCACCGGGGAGGCCCAAGGACGGCATTTTTTAAGGACAGGAAAAACGGGAAGTAAAAGTAATACAAAGTGTTTGTTAAATCTGAGCATACCAGTGGGTTATATCTAAATATATGGTATTGGGAGCTTTATAGTTTTCTTTAATTATGCCTATTTTCAGAGAGCTCATGTTAAAGAGATTTTGAGGTTCAGAGGGGAAAGGGGCTCGCCTGCTCCCTGAGACGCCTCCGGAATGAGTTTGTACAACAGGACAGCACCAAGGAGAAAACGAATTTATTTCCCCCTGCAGTACCCGGCTCAGGCCTCCCCCACGCGACTACAATTCCCGTCATGCCCAGGGCCTCCGGCCCCGCCCCTCGCCCGCCGGTCCCTTATGCGACCCGACCAGGCGCATGCGCGGAGCCTCCGCCCGCCCCCGCCGCAGAGGAGAGGCGGGGCTCCGGGCGCTCGCGGGACGGTGCCGCCCTCGGCCTCTCCCCAGGCTGCTCGTCGGACCGTTAACCTCGAATGAGGAACGAGCGGGGAGGGCCAAGCGGGGCTGCGGCGGCGCGGGCGGAGCCCGCCGGGCCCGGGGCCGGGGGAGGCGAGGTCACGTAACGGCCGCTCGGCGTGGAGCTTGGGGAGGGGGCGCCCGCCGGCGCCCCGAGCTCTTCCGCGCGCGCCTCGGCTTCCAAACTGCGAGCGGCGCGTCAACAGGAGCCGCGCGCGCCCCGCGTCAGCCCGCGCGCGCCCCGCGTCAGCCCGCGCGCCCGGGGCCAGCCGCCTCCCGCGGACCCGGAGGGGCGCCCCGGCCGGGGAGGAGGCGTCCCCGGCGGAGGCGCCGGGCCTGTGGCGCGGGGGAGCCCCAGCGCCGGCCGTGGGCTCCGTGGGCCGGCGACGACCCGGCGCGACCCCGGGCTGCCGTCCGCGCCGGCCCGGCCCGCTGACCGCCGCGCCGCGCCCAGCAGACGTCCGGGCGGCGGGGACCCGACTCGCCCCTGCCTCCGGCGCCCCCGCATCCGCAGCGGGCAGCGCGGGGCTGCTCCGTTATGCGCGCGCGCCGCTCCCGCCAGGCCCGAGAGGATCCCGGCCTCGCGAGCGGCGGGCGGCGGTGCACACCCTCCTGCTAGCCGGCCCCGCACACCCTCCTGCTGGCCGGCCCCGCACACCCTCCTGCTGGCCGGCCCCGCACACCCTCCTGCTAGCCGGCCCCGCGGGGCGTGCACCGGAGACACAACAGGTGGCCGGGCGCGCCGCTTCGCTGTCAGATCCATGCGGGAGGCGCCCCTCGCCCGGCTCGACCGCGGGACGCTCACGGATACAGAACTGCGGATCCCCGCCCGACCCGGTGCTGGTGCTGGTGCGGGGCAGGCTTTCCCTGCTGCGGAGGCCATGGCGCGGAGCCCCAGCCCCGGGCCCGGGGAGAGAGCGCGATAGCTCTGCCTACGAACAAAGTTACACAAGATTGGCTTTGTTCCTTTTTCTTTTCCTCAAATTTTGTTTTTCAGCTGCTGGTAGTGTGTGTGCACTTTCTAGGACTTCTGCTTGACTTCCGAGTAGCTGGATTCTTATTGGGTGCTTTTTGTGCTGTGTTAATCAAGGTCATTGAGGGTTGTTGGGTTTTTGTTTTTTTTTTTTTTTTTTAAAGTTTTCTGTCTTTGCGATCAAACATAACTAGTGTAGGTGGAAGGATTTTGTGGGGTTTCCCTTTTTTCTTTGACCTAAAGAAAACGGAAAATGCATCCTCCAGAAACCACCACCAAGATGGCTTCAGTTCGGTTCATGGTCACACCAACAAAGATCGATGACATTCCAGGCTTGTCAGACACCAGCCCGGACCTCAGCTCACGGTCCAGTTCCCGAGTGAGGTTTAGCTCCCGGGAAAGTGTGCCCGAAACCAGCCGGAGTGAGCCTATGAGTGAGACGTCTGGGGTCACCACTTCCCTTGCAACTGTTGCGCTGGATCCAGCCAGTGACCGGACTTCAAACCCCCAGGATGTTACTGAGGGTAAGTAGACTTACAGGTGATAGGATGCTTTCACTGCTGCCTTGTTTATCTGGGATGACTGTCTGCTGAGAGCTCGTTTTCTATTATATAATCATCATGATCCAAGGCCCCTCTTTTTGAGATGCTTAGGAACCCTTTGGAATAGTGGTTAGCGCTGTGGCTCTCTGCATTTGGCATGTGGAAAGGTAATTGGCAAGAAGGAAAGTAGATGTATGTGTTGACTTTCTCATTTTAGTCTCCTTAGAATTGAAATGAATATTTCGGGTGGGTATCAGAATTTTCTTGTTTTTTAACCCAGAATCCTAAATCGTAGTGGAGAACTTCAAGACCAACTATGAAAACATAGTTACTGATCTTAGCTTTTGGCTTTCATGCAGGCACTTGTATGAAATTGTGTCTGATATGAAATTATCAGATAATTGTATCAGAAAATTCTATTTAAAAATCTACATTTTTATGAGATAATGGTTAAAGTAGCCAAGCTCACTTGGGATGTGGCTAGGTAGATTTGATGTGTGTTCTGGCAAATTGGATAACTTTAAAGAGGCTTTACATTCCCTCAGAATTGTTTCTCATTGACCTTCAAGTGGAAATGTACCCCATCTTCGAAGTCAGAAGTAGCACACAGGCACTTTGAACTTAGTGACCACTGCAGACCTTCAGTTTCCTAAACCAGTGTATGTCAGTCTTGGGTGTTTTCATGGGATTTGTTGGGAAGAGACATAAAATGGAGAGGTCATAACATTTTTCATGCTCTGGAATAGAAAAGTTTGAGAACTGTTGTACTGCTGTATATATTTAGTCTTATGCTGTGTTCTAGCTAACGTACAGCCCTCTGGTAGTGACTGCTTACTTTAAGCAGCTTCAAGACTCACATGATGATATTCTGAACAAATTTTGAAAACTGTGTCTTCAGCCACTGACTTGTGAAAGCGAGACTGTCTTGCCAAATTTTATGTCAAGAAATACCATTCCCCTAACCTAAAGGGTGCAGGAACTAGATGTTTAGTTCCTCCTTTTTGTTTGTGTTCTTAGTCTCTGAGATGAGGCACATTTGGTAAAGTCTGTAGATCTAGAATTCACTTATTCTTGACTAATCTTTTTTTTTTTAAGATTTATTTATTTATTTATATTAGAACCGGGGTAGTCAAAAGCGTGGGAGGGTGAGAGAATTCACCAGAGCGGGGAACAGAACAGACAGACCGACGAAATACACTGCTGAGGGGAACAGCGGGCGGCAGGAGAGGTCTGCGCGCCATGTGGGACCCTCGCTGGTGGCCGGGGATCGAACTGGCGCTGCAGAGGCTGTGGGCAGCTTCGCAGCCCAGCGCTCAACCGCTGCGCCACCAGGGGAGGCCCTTGACTAATCATTTTTTAAAAAAGGTTTATTTTTATTTATGCATGCAAGAACAGGGGTCTAGGCCAGAGGTGCAAGGGGTGAGAGGATTCACCAGAGACAGAGAGGGGAGCAGAAAAGGAAGATCTACTGAAATACACTGCTGAGGGAAGCAGCAGGAGAGACAGGAGAGGTCTGCTGCACCAGGTGGGTAGCTCCCTGGCTGGGGATCCAACTCAGGCCAAAGTGGCTGGTGATAGCTTTATAGTTCTGAGACTTTAACCCCTGTGCTGCCACGGAGGCCCTAATCATTTCTTTTCTGAAGATATTACATGTTGGTTCCTGAGCTTAACTGTTTTCAACCTCTTGACAAACTTTACACTATGTACCAATTACATTATGGGATGAAAAATAATTTATCATTTCTACTTCCTCAAAATTAATTCTAAATTGTAGACTTAGTTTTTGTCTATTTTATTTATTTAGACTGTAAAAATACCAGATTAAGACTATTCAGATTGCTCCTCAGCCTTTTGGCTAAGATCAAGTGAAGACTAGTCAGTGTTGATTGTTTGATGCTGTAATTGTCATTAGGTAATTTATAGTTAAGTGTTGCTAGATGTGTGACTATATGTTATTGTATTTTCTGTTCTTTTTTAAAAATGGACTTAATTTAGTAATGTTTTAGCCTTTCGGTTACAGGATCTTATCCATGGTGCTGCTTATCTTGTCCGTAAGCTTTCTTTACAGTCTAGACTGGTGTTTTACATTATAGGGTAAAACTGGGGACATGATTATGTGAAATCTCTGTTGTTTAGGTGGTACAGAGTTAAATTTTGGCTCTCTTTCCAACACATTCCTTAATATTTAAATATTCTCTGGTACCAGATAAAAGGGAAATTAACAGTCCAGTCATTAAATCTTTTCCCCTAGTCTGGTGTAACTAGTTTCCTCCTTTCCCAGGTACCTGTTTTTCTCTTCTTATTTCTTCTCTCATCATGGAAATTTTTTTATTTTTTTTATTTTTCTTAGCGAGAACCACCCCATCCCCATACTTGCTTGCTTTTTTTTTTTTTTTTTTTTTAAGATTTATTTATGCATACAAGAACTAGGGTACAAGCCAGAGGTATTGGGGGAGGGGTGGAGAGGATTTACCAGAGACAGAGTGGGGAACAGAACAGGCAGATTCACTGAAATACACTGCTGAGGGGAGCAGCAGGAGAGACAGGAGAGGTCTGCTGTGCCATGTGGGTAGTTCCCTGGCTGGGATTGAACTTGTGCCACAGTGGCTGCCAATAGCTTCATAAGTTGCGCCTTAACCCCTTGTGCCATCAGGGAGGCCTGGAAATTTTTTTTTTTAAGATTATTATGGACATTTTTTAAATTAAAATTTTTAATTAAAATTTTCATGATTATTATCCTATGAATTATTTTCCTATGAATTATTTTCCTATGAATTATTCCCACTATTAGAAGAAACTGGCTAGAAACATACTTATTTCACCTTTGACTTTTTTTTTATTTATTTTTAAAGATTTATTTTATTTATTTATGCATACAAAAACTGAGGTATAAGTGTGGGGGGTGAGAGGATTCTCCAGAGTAGGGAGCAAAACAGGCGGATCTACTGAAATACACTGCTGAGGGGAGCAATGGGCGCCACAGGAGAGGTCTACGCCATGTGGGTTAGCTTTGTGACCAGGAATCGAACTCATGCCACACCAGGAAGGCCCCACCTTTAACTTTTATAATATGTGGATACCCTAGTTAGACTTAAATGTACATCTTCAAAGGATATTATTGGAAAGACAATCAAGGACATACTGTTAAATTACATATGTGTCTGAGCTGAATTTAGTGTAGGAAACAAATTACTTTTCTGCAATTGACTGTTCATAAGCTCATAGTATATTTCAGAATTGTGTTTGCTCTTCACATTTGTAATTATATAATTTTTAAAATTTATTCTTTTTTTTAAAAAGATTTATTTATTTATGCATACAAGAGCTGGGGTACAGGCCAGAGGTGTGGGGGGGTGAGAGGATTCCCCAGAGACAGAGTGGGGAACAGAACAGGCAGACTGACTGAAATACACTGCTGTGGGGAGCAGCTAGCGAGTCAGGAGAGGTCTGATGCGCCATGTGGGTTGCTCCCTTGGCTGGCCGGGGATCGAACTCGTGCTGCAGTGGCTGTGGATTGCTTCGATTGCGTCTTATCCCTTGCGCCACCAGGGAGGCCTCTATATGATTTTTTAAAAATCTTTTCTACATCCTTCTGTGGTTGTGACATTAGTATGATTTGTTCTCCTTTCCCCACAACTCCCATACCTCCCACATTTCTTTCTGTAGAAAATTTCCCACCTTAATTTTTTTTTGTCCCTTTTGTTCACATTGCATTGCATAGCCAGTGGCCAGGGGAGTGAGGCGCTGGAGGCTGTAGTTACACATGAAGTTTTAAATACTTCTATCAGTGCTTTAATTTTTTCTGCTGTTGGCCCTCTGAGTACATAGTTCTTTCTCTGCAATCAAAATATTTATAGTTCTCTTTTCATTTTGTCAAGGTTCCATTAGGTTCCATTTTGTCAAGGTTCACAGGACTGCCCAGTTGGTAAATAAAATCAAGAATCTTAGCACTTAAAAATACAGAACAAACTGTTGATAGTGGAAACATCTAGGGAGTGACTTACGCAAACAGCATGGAGAGTGGAAATTTTCCTTTAGCTGAATAATTGAGAAGGACATGCACAATTTTTTATAGAGTGTATCATTTTTATAATAAAAAATTTTAAGGGGTAAAGCATGTTAAGAAATCTTAGGTGATCTAGAATATAGTTCTGGTCAAACCTGATTTTTATTAATGAGAAAACTTAGATTGACAGAGATGGTTTTTTGTAGATGACAGTGGCAAAACTAAGACTGAAGCATACCTCTTCACTTCTATATGCAGTGCTTTCTATTATGTATTTTGCTTCCAAGTTGAGCATGTTTTGCATTTGCCTAATTACTACCTGGTTAACTTTAATGATTGTTAATAATAACAAAATTATTTTGCTAAACTACTTTTTATGTATCTTATGCAATCTTTTACAATGCAACAGATAGTCCGTGAGGCTGTGGTATGTGTAGGGAACCCAGATAGGAATTATGGGAAGTATGCAGATAAAATATAGATTCTGCATTTGGAAATTCATGGGATAGTGGTGAAAATGACAAGAATATGTTATCCATTCCTTCACCAACACTTACTAAATGTTTATTATGGGTTAGGCCCTGTTTTGGGTGTTAAGGATACAGGCTGAGAAAAAGAACCCAGTATCTGTTCTAAGGAAAGTTATGACCTAATACTTAAAGAAAACACATTTTCACATAAGCTCTAATGCTCTGTGATAAATGCAACAATAGAAATATATAATAATGAAAAAATTAGAAAAATATAGCAAATTTTAGAATTACATATTAGAAAAATACAGTAAAGAAAAATAGGTGAAAGTAAAAAGGAGCCACTAAGCAGTTGGAAGACTTAATGAGGTAAAGTAACAGTGAAACATATAGAAGGATTAAAGGCTAGAGTCAGACAGTTGAATGATCAAGTTCATGGTTTCAGAGGTTGGGGCAGTTCCAGTGTTAACATGATCTAGTGTGCGGCCTTGGGAGTGGGTGTCTAA